TGTTTTGTTGTTTGTTGTCACAGAGCAACGATGCAAAGCTCAAACCCAAAATGGTCAAAGTCAAAAGTCAAAGCCAAAACATCATTGGTTTGCCTGCCTTAAATTCTTTTATTGTTTTGATAATAGTGCTTCATTTAAAGGAAGAAGCCTTCCTCCTATCGGGGCATTTATGATCTGATAAATGTACAGAGAAGTCTATTCTGCTCCGTGTCAACCAGCTTTGAATATAATGGAAAAAAATGTTTGTTTAATGCAAAAGAAGGAAAATCAAGGACATAAAAGCTAATAATAACACCACTGCTTGATAATGTGGTGATTTTCTTATAAAACATTTTTTTTTATAAAAATTCTTTCTAAAAAACGTTTTAAACACAGATGGCTCGTCCTCCCAGAAGGTGTGTAGCTACCAGGATGTAGTGGAGTACCTGAACCTCACTGCAGACAACAGTGTGTTCAGAATGACCCGACCCGTTCTGGACCACAAACGCCCCACGGTGGTGCAGCTGGACATCATCCTCTTTGCCCTCCTGGCTGTGGTCGGTGCAGCATTACCGTGTTTGTGTGTCATTCACCTGATTGATGATCGATTCAGTTGAGCTGTTTTGAAGTTTAGCAGTTTATTAACCCGTCTGTTTATTCCCAGATTGAGAAAACGCAAACCTTTGTTCCTTTTGTCTGGGTAATAATGGTGAGTTTGGATTTTTTAAATGGTGACTCTCCTGAACTTTCTTTTTTATTCATCATCAGCTGACTGTCATTTTTCTGTTAATTGACTTTTCATTTACTGCAGAAGTGGAACAATGAACGCATCTCATGGGACCCGGCTCACTTTTGTGGAATCACTCAGATTTCTATTCCTAAGGAAATGCTCTGGAAACCAGACCTCTTTATCTATGAAATGTGAGCCAGCAGCACACACAGACACACTGTGGTTTATTAAAAGATCTGTGCACAACAAGCACCTACATTGTTCAGCAATTACAGCTGCTACCCCAATTGCGGCCTTTATGCTAAGCTAAGCTAAAACGCTGATGTTATACGATTTACATTTGGTAATCCTTTAAAGGTGAGAACTGCAACGGGTCATTTGAAATAAAAGAAATGAAAGGGAACCTAAAGGGAATCGGATTTGATGGACTGCTAAACAAATGTGTACCTGGAGAAGACAAAAGGAAAGCAAATGTTTGGTGGAGAATGGAAGGTTTCTCTTAAGAATTAAAAACACAGCCGCTTTTAAACTATTGTGAAGAGCAAACACAATCTCTTCGGGTAGTGACAGGAGGAGCTCCATCTATTATTCCTTCAGTTAATGATTATTGGGAAATACCTAGTGGTTTAATTTCTTACAAACGTAACATGAAAAGATTTTGAAGTGTGAAGTGTGTTTGTGTCTCAGGACACAGAAGGATGAATCCCCTCAGAATCCGTTCATGTACGTGTCCTACGACGGGACGGTCTCTTCCGAAGAGGAAATGAAGGTGGTCAGCACTTGCAAAATGGACGTCCAAAAGTTCCCCTTCGACATACAGAGATGCAACATCTCCATCGGCTCTGCGGTGCACTGCGGTGAGTGAACGGCTGTGTGGTTCAGGGCAGAATGGGCGGAATCTCATTCCGGCCACAAGGTCCTTTCACTCAGACTTTCTCCCCGTCTCCTCAGTTGATGAGATTCGTGTCTTTCCGTTCTCCAACTCGTCTCGGGCCACCCAGTTTTCCCGAGAGGTGATAAGGACTCAGGGAGAGTGGGAGTTCCTCCAACTGACCGTAACCAGTCAAAATTTCACCATAGACAATAAACAGTGGGAATATCTCATATACACTGTACGTATGTACTTATATACACACACACACACGTTACATTATGTTCTTGTTTTGGTGTTGGAACTAGTTTTTCTCTGGATACACAATTGAGAATTTGTGTGCACTAAATTCTAATTTGTTTTCACTTTAGTTAACTTCTGCTTTATTAATATATATTACTTATGGTAACCAAAAAAGGAGATTCAAGATTTATTAAATAAAAAAATGAATAAATAAACATGTAATATATGTGTAAATATCATACGTATATCTGTCTATATGCTTATAGATATATATAGAAATAATCAAATGAGTTTACACAAGTAAAATCGTTTTCCCCCCGTCCATCTAGTCTGACCTTTGCACCTATTTTTCCAGTTCACCATGAAGAGGAGGCCACTCCTCCACGTCACCAACTTCCTGTTGCCCATCCTGTTCTTCCTGATTCTGGACCTCGCCTCCTTCTTCATCGAAGACCGCCGAGGAGAGAAGCTGGGCTTCAAAGTCACCATACTGCTGGCCATCTCCGTCCTGCTGCTCATCCTCAATGACATCCTGCCCTCCATGTCCAACAAGACTCCCCTCATAGGTACTGACTCCTGCTTTCAGGGCATTCTGAACGCCGTGTTGTGCTTCATTGAGAGGTCAAGAGATCAACAAAACAAAAAGGCAGTTATTGTTTGTCTCCTCCACTCAGCCACCTACTGCGTCGTGATTTTCGCTCTGATGCTGCTCAGCCTGCTGGAGACCATCTTGGTTACATATTTCATGGAGAAAGACTGTGCCTCCAAGGAGAAGATCAGGCTGAGGGAAAACAGGGAGAACAAGCAGGACACCTTCATCACAGGTGAGACGCAGATCTTATTGGAAGCTTGTTAATTGGAAACGTCTGGAGGAACTTATTTCTGTTTTTCAGTCGTAATTTACATTCTTGAGGTAATTTGGGCCTTGAAAGCTTTTCTAGATCAGCTATTTCCTTATAAATCCACATCTTTGTGGGCCCTCGTTGACTTATGACTACGGATGTTTTCTCTTTTGCATTTGGTCACAGGAATGTGATCAAATAGAAAAACACAATCCATGATTTCAAGTGCTTTTCCTATGCAGCTTTATAGTGGATCACGTTTCCTGTGCAACCATCTCTTTCAGAGGAGAAAAGACAAAGCGGCTGTCTGAGCATCTGCAAAGCGTCAGATGGTGAGAAACAACATGAATTGCTGCCGATGGTTCAAGAGGTAAAGACAATGTCGGTTCCAATGAAACATCATTATCACAAGACAGGTGGTCAAAACTGGGTTTTAGACCAAAATGTATTGTCTCATCAGGTTAAATGTAGATTCCAGGTCATTAAAATTGGGTTAGATTTTGAACTTCATAAATTGCTCTGAAGTCGGAGCAACTACTTTTCCCACGATTCCTTTTGCTTTTAGTGAAATTAAATGCTTTGCTTTAAAAGAGACCCCAAATGCTTTGATTTAGATTTCATCCACAAAATAATCCACATTTATGAATTACATGTATATTTCTATTTGTACATTTACATCATGACCTAAGGGCATTAATCTCATTAAACCATCCAAAGTATTAATGAGGTGGCAGACAGTAAAGAAGGCGGTTGTGCCCACCTGGCTTGAACATGAATGCATTCATAATCCCAGTCATGACTCCGTGACTCCTGATGTTTGCAGGTTAACAACAGCGTTCAGGCCCGAGAGAGTGACACGTTGCTGCTGATCTTGGAGGAGCTGAAGGAGTTGCAGAATATTTTGAATCTGCACCTCGTCTGTAGACAGGACGGAGGGAAGTCTGGCCTCTTGGCCGCAAGAATCAACAGAGCTTTCTTCATTTTCTACATCACCACCGTGTCACTGTTCCTCACCCTCATCTTCATCGCATGGACCACTTAAACCTTTTTTAACCATGTTAAACCTTTAAGTCAAGACATGCCGTATGAATTTGATGTAGAATCTAGAAGTTGTGCCATGTTTGGTATCTACAATGTCTCATTGTGAATCTATTTAATTCAGTTTAAATGAGATAACTTGAATTGTATTTACTCTATCCTGCAGACTGGTGGCGCCAAAATCTTTAGTGTTGATGAAGAAAAGGTCCTTGCAGAGCTGTCTAGGGCTTTGCCTTTTAATAAGATTGTATAAAATGTGTGGGGAATAAATCACAAAATAATAATAATGTTTGAGTTTTGAAAAAGGCAAAAAGCAAAACAATGACCATTTTAAACATATTTGTGTGCTGAAATAAATATATCAAAACCTTGTGTTGTGTTTTTAAATGGTTAAAGACGCTCAGCATCCACCGGAGGGTTTAAAATCAGCATTTAAATAGTTTTCAGAAGCTGATCCATCAATGGTCACATTGACGTAGAAGCCACAACAAGGTTGATATAATTGTTTAAAATGCAACCCACAAGAGCTCATGTGCAGTACGAGTAGAGACACATGCAGGGGCGGACTGTGGGTAAAAAGTGGCCCGGGAGTTACTGTCAATCCGGCCCACTTAACACACGGAGGGTTGCCCACTCAGATCATCACACATTTTGACCCATACGCAAAATCGGATTGTCGGACATCCAACATCGCCAAACCATTTCACATTATTTCATCTTTCGCTCTGGACAAACATCCGTCCATCTTGTGCCAGACCTCACAGGTCATCAGTCACTCAAACCCTAAACTGATCTAATCCGTCCTGATGCCCACTATGTCGTGGACACATCATCAGACTCTGGCGTTATTGCCGTGGAAGTAAAAACCGGAGGAGAAAAAACATTGTGTATCAATTTATTGAGTTGGAGATACCTGCTCTAAATCAGCACGTGAGAGCATGTTGTACATTCGCTTCTCCCTCTCCTCATCCAGCCACTACCTGCGGTCCCACGCACCCCAATTCCACGCCCCCATGCTCACTTGTATCCAGTGCCAATAAGCTTCTGTACACATTCTCTGTGAATCCCTCAACTCTTCCATGTTTCAATGCGTTTGGGCCGTCCCTCGACAACCTATTAGCCAAGTAACACTGAATTAATTATTGTTACTAAGACATCATATCTATTTCCACCTAATTTTTGATGTAAGGAGAAAGCGTACAATCAATTGCACCAGCTGGTTCACCATGGCAACTGTAAATTCACACGTATATACCAATCAGAATAGCACACTATACTCATTAGACATAAATTGTGTTATGGTGTGATAAGAGAAAAACAGCTAAATGTTTATTAGTTGCAGTAAGTGCACTAACAGCAACATCATTACGGTACATTTAGTCTCCACCAACCTCTTATTTCTCCCCTTAAAAAACACTCAAGCAGGATGTACTGACCACTGGGAGTGACCACCATCTGACTGTCGGACTAATGACATTATAAAAAGAATGCAGAAACTATCATTGATCCAGTTTGCCCGTTCTTCCAGTGCCAGACGGTGGTTCTATTATCGGAACATTCTCGGTGACATTTCCAGACAACGCTGTAAAGACGGAGACACAGAAGACCTGTGGAGAAGTCTCACTGAGTTTGGAGTTGCAGTCATGATTCTTGCTGGTTTCTTGTCCGTGCTCTTCTTCACTGGTAAGCTTGGACAATATTCGGCATCTCCTGCAGGATGGAAGGAGGCTAAAGTCACTTCCTGAATATTCTTGCGGTTCGATGATTAAAATAATCAAACCTTTTGTCTTACAAATTCAAGCTTGGAAAACTACTATGACTAGTTTCATCGTTGTTTTATCTTGGTGTTTATAAAGAAGGAATGAAGAAAAATATGCACGTCGAGCCAAACACCACCAAACTGTTACATTATTGGACGATAAAGTACAGCCTTTCGTGCTTTAAAAAAGTATAAAGAGCACTGGTTGTATTGTGAAATTCTAGTTCACTGGTATAACATTTTATATACAAAGTCCCTTTGCCCTTAAACAAACACACACATATGCATACTGTCAGTTGTGGAGACCACAGTCTTTTTGCTGAGAAACTCATAGATATCGAATCATAGAATAATTTAATCTCTATGTAGATGAAGTGTAATTACAGTGTATTTGATTTAATTGGTTCTAGGCTGTAATGTCTACTGTGGGAGTGACTGCTTTCTCAGGATGGATGTTAGAATTAGATTAGAATTAGAAAACTACCTAAACAAACAAGCACAGAGACACCGCTGGATTTTGTGATTTCAATTTTCTTGCTAGTAATGATAGTTATATTAGTATTGTCATACGTGAGCATGCTCATGTTCACATTCAGCAGGAAGCATCTTTGTGTCCAAATACAGCATCAGAGGTGCTTGTTATTTAATTATAACAAAACAAAGAATTATGAAGCACCTGCATGTAACTTCACAGCCGGCAGCTTGTGGGGGATGTTCCCAGGAGTTTCTATTGCATAAGTTCTGTTGGACTCTTCCAATAACAGGAGGGGTGGTGATTACACCTTGACAAACGTTTCCAGACACCATAAAGGACGAGGTCACAGTCATGATGCTCGCTGGTTTCTTCTTTCTGTTCCTCGTCTCAGGTAAGACGGAACATTTCTGTTGGCTGGAAATGTTTTTCTTCATCACAACATAATTTAGGGGAATTAGGTTTGGTTAATGATACACAATTTGTCAGGATACAGAACTTGACTAAAATGGCCTTAAGCTGTTTCCCAAAACTGTTCCCAATGTGTTTTTTAACACACTTCAGAGCCTTTAAACCATTCACTGGTATCAGGCTAAAGGCTGTGAACTTCTTTTGTCAGGTGGGAGCACCTCCAATATTTCGGAACAAACAGAGCTTCATGATGATCAACCAAACTTCAATCAGGACAATGATGAAGGTGTGTAATCAGTAATCATTTAAATATTTATTATATATTTGCCACACAGTAAACTGAAAAAAAGTATTTTAACAAATGATTATTTGTTAAATGTGTAATGATTAACATGGGCTGACCCTAGATATAATGACCCGAGGGTTCCTTGGGTCATTATGAAGGGTTAATGAAGCCTGAAGGGTTCCTAAAACCCTTCAGGTGCAGAGGATAATTCTCCTAAACGGGGACAGTGTTCCTGAATGACGATATTAACATGTTTGATTGTTCTTTTACAGGGTTCAACATCTCAACGACAGACATCTTGAAACCACCAGAGCTCAGTGGGAAAATATTTATTCAAAACATTCTGTTTACAATGATAATTTTCTAAAAGGAAAAAAAAAGTTCAAACCTTTTCTCAAACAAAGTTTATTGTGTGGGCTTAGAGTTTTGTTTAAACTCCTGCGATTAAGTTGAACCTGTGTACTTTTTATTGCTAGATGGAAGTACCAACCAGGACTCAAAATATCCCGAGCTTCAACAGGGGAACTATACAAACCAGAATGATACGAACACGACTGTCATGTTTCAACGATCTGAAGGTCTAAAATTACATTTTGTGGTGATTTTCTTTCCTATTTAGACTAAACCTTCTAATATGTAACATGATGTCATGATGTTTTCACTGTAGATGGTAGGATCCACACAAACTGCTCCCATCGGGCTGTTTATAAGTACTTGAAACTGGTGAAGGACAACGACATTTCCAAGATTGGTCCTTCTTTTTATAATTTCCCCACAGAGGTAAACGTGGAAGTACGTCTCTATGCCATTCTAGATGTGGTGAGTGGCTACTTAAGTTTATAAAGTAAAATTAAAATATTTTGTTTGTCCATAACGTATCACGATATTACCAAACCATGCAAGAGTTTGATGAGGCTGATGTTTTACTGTTTACCAGTTTCCAGAATAGTTTCTGTGCTCAGAGTGTTTTCTAATTTAAATTTGATGGGCGTTAATTAATGAATTGATGTTTGTTCACTCACAGTGAGTACATCATTCTTTTTACATGTTTTTGTTTTCTCATAGAACGAAAAGGAACAGCGATTTGTTTCCTACATTTGGATTGTGTCGGTGAGCATTTTGACTTCAATTAATTCTCACCTCTCCCTTCTTTGAGAAACTCAAATATCTTTTGTTTCAACGCACTTTCCCACGTTTTCCTCTGTAGTTTTGGTACGACCCTGACATATATTGGAAGCCTGCAGATTTCTGCAATATTTCGACAATTTATCCCCCTTCGGATGTATTGTGGACTCCAGATCTAACAATCGAAGAGATGTGAGTTTTTATGTGAATACTCTCATCCTCAACCTTCCACAACACACGTTATTGTTATGCCAAATATCATTCCGTTTAGGGATCTTGATCTAGTTCGAGCTGAGAAGAAAAATATTTTTTGAGTGGAGCTACCAAGGTTTTCTTAACATGAGCTAAAGGATAATTTTTAAAGTAAATCCAGTTAACATTTCTCTGGCTCTTGCTGGTACTTGGAGATGGTTTGGTAACTACTTTTTTTCCCCTCCACTCTCTTTTAGGTGTGAAAGTTGCTATACCATATTTTGTAATGCATTGTGTCCATTTGATTTCAGTAGTTATTTTGGTGCATGAACGGAAAGAACTACACGCTTCTTTCCACTTCAAAGTTTTTGTAAACATTCACATTTTCACAGTTTTGATTTCACTAAATGAAGCCTTTATTGTCTTTTCAGCAAATTCATGTAACTTATAACTATCCTCTTCAGTCTTCTACACCAACACTACTATTGCGAGTAGTATTTAATGTGAAATCATTGTTTGTATTTTTAATCCCATAGTTTACACCAGTTTAGTTTACACAAGTTTAAACACTAATATTTGTTATTACTTTTGTTTACAATGAATTATAAAATAACTAACCAAGTGCCCCAGAATAAGGCTTTTGCCTCCTTGTTTTACCTGCACTTTGTGTTGGCCACCTGTCTGTCTGTAACTATTTAATATGCAGGGAATGTAGTGTGACTTCTGGTAAACAGCAGCCGCTGCTGACACAAGTTAAACACGTCCAACGCTAAAGTACATTATAGCAGTAGTCTAAGTAGAGAAGAGTTGCAAACTCAGCAAACTGACTGATATCAACATTAATTACCATGAGAAACTCTACTGGTCACACCAGACCGACCAAAACCCCCTCAGTGTATTGAATAGAGCTTTTTTGTTTCTTTTCAATTTTTTCTCTGTAAAAAGAAGACAATGTGGTTTTGTTTTTTATAAGTTAATAGGCAACAACAGAGAGCACTATGACTTTGTAACTGTCCATTGTAACTGGTTCAACGCTGCCTGGAGAAATTTGCATTTACATAGTTTTCTGGTCCAGACTTGTCATATTGTTTAATATTATAGATAATACAAAATGTGAAATTCAGTTAAAATATTTTGTGTTTGTTATCATTCAGGATAGAGGATAATAAGGTTTCTAAGAGTCCTTATGTCACCCTTTACTATGATGGAGAGGTCTTTCTTCGGAGCAACATGGTGGTGGTCAGCAGTTGCACGATGGAAGTTTACAAATTTCCCTTTGACGTCCAGAACTGCAAACTGTCTTTCAAGTCCATTGCACACACATGTGAGTCCTAAACCTTGTGTTCAGTTTCATGAATTCCTGTGCCTTGTTAATGTGTTCTCATCACTGTTTGAGTTTGAATGTGAATGTTTCAATGACTTCAATGGTTTCTTGTCACCTAAACACAAATATCATACAATCCTTTCTCTAATCGCCCAAATCAGCTAAGGATCTGAAGATTACAAATTGGATGGAAAAACAATTGAATTTTGAACGGTCTCTTGAAAGAATGACTCAATCCGAGTGGCTGTTTGTCAACTTGAACATCAGCGAGGAAGTGGTCTACGATCTTGATGGATATAAAACCATGCTGATTTACACTGTAAGTATCTGTGGAAACACACTGTTATAAGAACATAAAGAAAATATGAAGTTGTATGAGGAAACAGTATTAAGGAGATACATTATGAAATCTTTGTCAAGACCAAAGTAAAGAAAACTACGGAGAAAAGTGAGTGATAGATGAACAGAAGACAACCTAATTTTTTATTCAGATAAAACCCAGTGACTCAAAAAAGCCTGGATGATTGTGAGAGCTGTTTGGCTCATAAGCCCAAACAACAGTCCGGCCCTCACGTAGATCTTCAGTACACCCGAAGGCAGCAGCAACATGTCACCTCTCCCTGCTTGTTCCAACCGTTCTTTCCCTCTTTATTTTTGTCTTTATTAGTTTGTAGTTTTCCATAATTATGTCCTAGCTATTTATTTATTTGTTTCCTCTCTCCTTTCTACTTTTAGGTCTTTCTATCCTCCCTTTGTTGCTTGAATAAGTCAGAATATACAAATATTCATGGCTCTAAATATGCCTGTTTTACATGGACTCTGCTGATCTTACCGATAAATACTTTCCTGTTTCATTAATACTTCTACCTAACTAACGTCTTGAACACGTTTTGCTCTGCTGTTGAAGACGAGCGCATGTTGGGTCCGATTATCTTGTTTTACCTGCATGTGACTGTTTTTGGCCGTTGCAGATGGAAGCGTTAACTGACCTTTGTCCGTCTTTCACAGATCACCATGAAGCGGCGGTCTGCCCTCTACATCGCCAACTTCTTGCTTCCGATCATGTTCTTCTTGGGTCTGGACTTGGCCTCCTTCGGGATCTCAGACAGTGGGGGCGAGAAGCTCGGCTTCAAGGTCACGGTGCTGCTGGCTGTCACTGTGATGCAGCTTATCCTCAACGACATCCTGCCTGCCTCTTCAGACAGGATTCCTCTCATTGGTAAGGAGGGTCGCAGTCTACACTTCACATTACGAGCAACCGTACTGATTCAATATGTCCACATTGACGCTGCCTTCCCCCGTTAGCCATCTACATTATTGATGATAACTTCTCCCTTCAGCAATCTACTGCATTGGGGTTTTTGGTCTGATGATGCTGAGCCTGGTGGAGACGATTTTGATGATGTATCTGTTAGGAAAAGACGCTGCAGCCGAAGAAAACAGGGAAGATAAAGAGCAAAGACGGAGTGAGTATCGATGAGACAAATTGGGCAAAGCTCACTGCTGGTCAGGTGGGATGAAGCACAAACTCTTTGTGAAACTTCACATTCTCTACTGTCATTGAATCTAACGTATTCTTTTAGATTTGAAGAAAAGGACGTCTGCTGATGAATCTCCAGCCGAACAACTGTCAGTCGCCAAAGAGGTAAAGGTTGTGTTGCATCTTGAAGATCTATTAAATTACAAAACAAAAAAACTGTTGAGCATAACTTGGAACCAACCCTAATAAATCGAATCATAATGCACACAAAAGCAAAATATCAAATGTAGAACTTTTTCAAAATTCTCATTTATTAATAATCTACTGAATCCTTCCTGCAGGGCGACAGCAGCAAACCGACTGTGGAGTCCATTGCTTTGGAGAACATCTCAGATGAGCTGAGGGATGTGGAGAAAACGCTGACTCGGGTCCTCAACGGAAGGAAGGAAGGAAATAAGGCCGGCTGCTGGACCAAGGTGGCTGAAAAAGTCAACATTGTTTTCATCATTACCTATGTCATAGCTGTCATTGTGTTTTTGATTGTTCTCTTTTCACAGTGGACTAAAGATGACGAGTAGTGCTCGCTAGATTAACATGGGCATCCTCAATGAAGTGATTACTAATATTATTAATATCTTGCTGAGCACACTTTGTGAATCAGTAGTCTTCTTGATGTGAGCGGTCCCTGTAAAGTAGAAAAACGTTACAATAATCTTTTGTTCATTATATGTTATCAGAGAACTTGGTTTTTATTTTACAATACCAAACGGGCTATTTGTAAATCAATACTGAATCAGCACAATATCAACATTACATTCTGGTTATTGGTATAAAGCACAGTGGACGATGTCCTCGCATACCAAATCACATATCGGCATTACAGAAAGGACGTTTAATTGAGAAGTCTCACCAGGAGGAGCCCTTGCTCCTCTGTCCTTAACCACTTTGCTTTCTATGCTGTAAATGTAATTTTGAATCAGCTTTAATTATTCATTTCTTCATTCTGGGATTTGGTAATGTTCTATCAATTACCCGTTCATGTGTTTTTTATATTTCCTCTCAATAACAGATGGTGGGGGGGTTCTGTTTGTTCAACCATCATACTCCGCATGCATACTATATAACTAATATACAATCCATTGAAAACATGTAAGGGGTTTTTTGTTTTATGGTTTGAGAGACTTCGTGCTTTATTTATGCACATTCATCCACGTCGTCAATAACGTCTTAATGTATCGTACATTTAAAGTGATCGGGGTCGTCGTGGCGCAGGGGGTAGAGCGGGTGCGCTGGGAACCGCAAGGTTGGTGGTTTGAGTCCCGGCCATGTTTCAAGTCGAAGTGTCCCTGAGCAAGACACCTAACCCCTTATTGCTCCCCGGGCAAGCCATGGGTTTAAAGTGTAACGTAAAGTTGCTTTGGATAAAACCGTCAGCTAAATGACCTGTGATGTAAAGTAGCAACTAGAGCACCTCGACTGACATTAATATTTTTACTATTGTATTATTATATCGAGCTAATAAATTCAAAGCTATACATTTCTGGTTTGGTTTTGTATACATTCAGTGGTTTCAGTTCCACTTGTGACTTGGTCCACTGGATGAAAAAAATCTTAATGATTTTTTTCTAGTGCCACCAAGTGGTTTTAATTTGTTGTTTTGAACACATTAATTTATTGGAAATTTAGTTTGGACTGCATGTCCTTCTGAAGGTGAATTTTGATGGACTAATCCTCTCTCACACACACACACGCAGACATATATTATATAATATATATATATATATATATATATATATACACATTCTCTGTGAGTCCCTCAACTCACTCAAGTGTGAAGGGAACCATGTCAACTGATGGTGATTTTGACAATGTCCATGTAGGGAACAGGTGGATTGGTCTAAAAAAACATACGACTTATACACTGCTGAAGGCATATCTCTGTTAGTGTTAATATAAAATAGCTTCAATGTGTTCCCGACTTCCTCCATCAGATCCCATCAGCATCCTCCGGCTGTTTCTTGGTACCGCCACCAGGTGGTGAGCTTTATTTTTTGCAGAAGGCCATCTTTGTATTTTGACATTTTAATGGTCTTTTGCAAGAGTGAGATCAAAAAGCAATAATTTCACTTAAATGGAAACTCCAAAACGAACAATGGACCCAGCTCATGTGACCTGGCTCAGTTTTTGGGGGAATCACTCAAAACTCTGGTGACCAGTGAGTCTCTAGTTTGTAAAAAAAACACCTTAAATCCCATTTTTGAAGTAAGGGGACCATATTTTAATAACTAGTAGACTCTGCTTGGCATAAGGACTGAACACCTGGATGTGCCTGAAGCAAAACAGAATCCACCACCAGCAGCTCATTTACATGTTTATGCAACTTGTTTGTTAAGGAAACGAGTTGAGGTTTCACGGCTGGTGACGTGACGTGAGATTAATAACTTTAATGTTTGCTGACTTTTATTAAAGTAAACACAAAACAGTCTTTATACTATTGTAGGAAGACATGATAAGCTAACATCACCCTGAGGTGGTGACAGGTGAAGCTCCATCTTTTCATTCAGCTCGTGATTAATGGCGTGTCCTTCTGCAAACATGACATGAAAAGATTGTCTTTGTTCATGCCTCAGGACACAGAAAGAATTTGGAGCTACTTAAATTTCATCTTGAATTGCAGTGTGATGTAAATGATATTGACTGTTTTCCAATAGTTGGAGTCAGCAGGTGGATGCTGAGGGTTTAAGCCCGTCGTTGGCTGTGGATCTGACCTTCTTCAGATGCAAATGACGCACGTAAATATTTCTTTTTTAAAGTTGGATGGAGCTGCTACACGACAACCTATTAGCCAAGTACCACAGAATTCATTATTGTTACTAAGACATTATATATATTTCCACCTAATTTTTGATGTAATTTAGGAGAAAGAGTACAATCAATTGCACCAGCTGGTTCACCATGGCAACTGTAAATGCACACAGAACATAGAATAACACACTAAACTTATTAGACATACATTGTGTTATGGTGTGATAACAAAAAAAACAGCAAAATGTTTGTTGTTGAAGTATTAGTTACAATAAGTGCAAAGTTTTCATTACAGCACATTTAGTCTCCACCAACCTCTTATTTCTCCCCTTAAAAACCACTCAAACACGATGTACTGACCACAGTGGGAGTGACCACCATCTGACTGTCGGACTAATGACATTATAAAAAGGTACTATAATTGATTCAGTTCCCGTCCCGATCCCGTTCTTCTAGTGCCTGGCAGTGGTTGTATTACCGGGTTAAAGGTAAAGGTTGGGTGACATTTCCAGATAACACTGTAAAGACCTGTGGAGACGTTTCACTGAGTTTGGAGTTGCAGTCATGATTCTTACTGGTTTCTTGTCTGTGCTCTTCCTCACAGGTAAGCTTGGTAGCAGTATGGGCTGCTTGAGAGGGTTTTAGTTTGGATTTCTTGTTTAAAGTGTCTCACTGGCTGAACAAATTCTCACACTTTTTGTTTACTGGTTGAAAAGGGCTAAAAATTCATCCCTTATGTTTGGAAAGTCATGGTGAGTTCTGTCTGGGTAGATTAACTTACGCTGGGACGCTTTTTTCTCTAAATGGTATATTTCTTTTTGTCAGAGCTGTTTCAATGAATTGTTTCTTTCTTTCTCTTCCCCTTGTTTTATGGCGTATTTTCCCCTGCAGAGGTGGCACAACGAATACATTTCCTGGAATCAAAATTAGTTTTGTGGAATTCAAAATACTTCTCTTCCTGACGAGATTCTGTGGAAGCCGGATCTCACTATTGAAGAGATGTAAGTGAGAATGAACAACAACACCCACTCACAGAACATATATATATATTTACATAAATATATATACATACATATATATTAGGTAAGGTAAGGTAAGATAAGGTTTTCAAACTACCCATTCCCCTTTGACATCCAGAGCTGCAACCTCTCCTTCAAGTCCGTCACGCACACTGGTCAGTGCATCCATGTTTAATGAATGAGTTTAATGTGACATTGATGACAAGTAGGGCCGGTTGAATAACTGGTGTGTGTGTGTGTGTGTGTGTGTGACAGAATTGGGATTAAGATGCTTCTTAATAGTTTATTTAATGTAACTCTTGAGTTGGTGGAGAAGTGAGTTGTACAATTGCTTGCAATTATTCAGATAAAACAATTTAAAACATTTTTTTTCTTTGCATTTTTAATAATTAGACGTCCTGTTGAGGAAAAAGGTTTTGAAAAGCTTTCTGAATGAGCAGTAACAAGTCTAATCTGCTATTACCTTTGTGATACGAGTGACATTGGAAAGGCCGGTCTCCTTTCATTGCTGCATATGGCACTATGTTGTGTAGTCATTGTATATTTTGCTGCACTTGCTTTTGCGGAGAGCGGAGATGGCTGTGCGAAATGTGTTTTCTCATTTCTCTCCCACCTCATCGATAGACTTTAAGCTTCAGGCAATAGACAACTCTTCAGGCCACTGAGTGTCCACGTTAATGACGCTTCTTCCCTCCCCAGCGGTCAGTGTAAATGCACACGTATATACCAATCAGAACATAGAATAACACACTATAATCATTAGACTTAAATTCTGTTATGGTGTGATAACAAAAAAACAGCAAAATGTGTATTAAGTGCAAGGTTTTCATTACAGCACATTTCGTCTCCACCAACCTCTTATTTCTCCCCTTAAAAACCACTCAAGCAGGATGTACTGACCACCAGTGATGGCAAAGTGAAGCTTTCCAGCCAATTGTGTCGGAAAAAGGTTAATTCATTTAATGCATCTAGGGGTTGAGTCGGTTTCTTAGATACTGTTTCCTCATCGTGCCGTGTGAGCGCGTTTTCATTTGAGCATTAATGCTCAAATGAAAACGCGCTAATACAAATAGATGTGGGTACACATGTTTGTGTTTGACCCAATATTTTAGCGGGTCTTCACTCCGATGAATATTTTATTCAGCCAAATATCTGGTGGTCTCCACAATAAAACTAAACATCCATAATTACACAATACAAATTACAGACTTTGCCTGCCTATTGCCAACCTTGATAGAGGAAATCAAATTGAAGTGCTCCCACATCTCGGAGCGACCTCTCTTTGCCACAGGTTCCATTGTAAATTTGCGCTTTGCTACTACTACTACAACAACACTGACTTTGACTGTATCACACCGACAAGCCCGAACCCGTTTCCAGCCCATTTGAATCAAATCGAAGCGGTCACGTGACTGTGCGCAGGAACGAAGCTTCGGACGTCACTGATGACGTCACTGAACCGGACCAAAGCTTCGGACGTCACTGATCACGTGATCAGCACCGATACCTTTGCTTCGCCTTGCACTGGTTCATATTTCGACACAAGCTTCGAAGCAGGAGGGTCGGAGGTAACAACACTATTATTCTCAATTATTTCCAAACAGCTGACTCCTGGTCTTGAAGAACTTTGAAAATGGGCCTTTTCTTTCCAATAGTATAACTCACTTTCCACCGACTCAACCAGTTACATTTAATAAAATATCAAGAAGCATCTTAATTGTCACGGTTTGGGTTCATGTCTGGTTTTATTTTGTAGTTTCTTGCCTCTGTTCTCCCTGGGTCACGTCACTTCCTGCCTGGTCCTGTCTTCCCCTGTGATTGTTGTCGGGATCTCCGATCCCCCCGAGTTGGTTGATGAGAAGGATCGCCACACGTTGATCAATTAAAGTCAAAAAGTTAACATTTATTTAGAAGAGAAAAAGATTACATGAGCAATTCTCCGCAGATATCTGTCTATAACTATTACTTGCGAGCAGGAGGTCCAACACACCAGCACGTATTCCAGCGTTCTGTGTAATGGCGTCCCCGAGCAGTAAAAACGCTGTTTTTATACACTTGAAGACAGTTCTTAGCGCCAGTTTCGAGAAGCCACAAATCAAGTTGAGATAAGAACTCAGGTGAAGCTGATGGTAACACACCATGCTCCTCTGATCGAAGATCCGTGAGAGCAAGATGACCCCCTTCCCCAAACACTGCTGAAAACCTTAAATCTTTCTATCTCTCCATCTCAGGGTCAACCATTGAGACTTGGCTTTTTGTGTTTCTGTTGTCACTTGTTGCGTCATTACTAAATGTTCGTTGGCAGGAGCCCGTGTCCTTGTCCATGTTCTTTAAAGTTTAAAGCTTTTTTTGGAGTTTTGAGTTTTTGGAAGTTTTTTGACTATTAAAGTCCCTTTTGTTTCCCGAAATTCTTTGCGTCTGAGTCCTACCTTCCCTCTCCCGTCGCACAGACCCTGCTCCCGACATTAATCCCATCACTGTCACACACACACACACACACCAGTTCTTTAAACGGCATCACTTGGCATCAATGTCACATTAAACTCATTAAAGGTTCAGATCCCCTTCCAGGTAGTAGGTGCTTGTGATTTCATAAAAGCAGTATCATAAGTAAACAAAGTCAAATGAGTTTGCCACAAGCCACAGGGGAGATACAGCCAACATGTGGAAGAAGGTTCTCTGGTAAAATAAGTACATGTTGTGAACAAATGAACTTTTTGGCCTCAATGCAAACTGCTAAAACTGTGCATCACCCTGAACACACCATCCCAACAGTGAAATATGGTGGTAGCATGCTGTTGCAATAGTTTGATATTTTTCAATCAAAACTACAAATTACAACCATATGGTGGCACTAGAAAAGAATGAGGGGATCCCAAAGTCATTAAGATTATTCTTCATCCACTGGACTACGTCACCAGTGGAACTGAAACCACTGAATGTATACAAAACCAAACCAGAAATGTATAGCTTTGAATTTATTAGCCCAATATAACAATACAATAGTAAAAACATTAATGTCTGTCAGCTGAGGTGATCTAGTTGCTACTTTAAATGCGTTCTTGTCTGCCAATGGTTACATCATACTAACTTGAAAAACAAATTGCTGAATAGACAGATAAAAAGATACATGACAATACATCATATTCTCAATGTTTAAAATTTTCTGCAAGAATCTAGACAACCTGGTTAATCTTGTACGATACATGAAGACGTTATTGACGACGTGGATAAATGTGCATAAATAAAGCCTGAAATCTCTCAAACCATAAAACAAAAAACACTTACATGTTTTCAATGGATTGTATATTAGTCATATAGTATGCATGCGGAGTATGATGGTTGAACAAACAGAACCCCCCCACCCTCTGTTATTGAGAAAAAACACATGAAAGGGTAATTGATTGAAATAGAACATTACCAAATCCCAGAATGAAGAAATGAATAATTAAAGCTGATTCAAAATTACATTTACAGCATAGAAAGCAAAGTGGTTAAGGACAGAGGAGCAAGGGCTTCTCCTGGCGAGACTTCTCAATTAAACGTCATTTCTGTAATGCCGATATGTGATTTGGTATGCGAGGACATCGTCCACTGTGCTTTATACCAATAACCAGAATGTAATGTTGACATTGTGCTGATTCAGTATTGATTTACAAATAGCCCGTTTGGTATTGTAAAATAAAAACAAGTTCTCTGATAACATATAATGAACAAAAGATAATTGTAACGTTTTTCTACTTTACAGGGACCGCTCACATCAAGAAGACTACAGATTCACAATGTCTGCTCAGCAAGATATTGATAATATTAGTAATCACTTCATTGAGGATGCCCATGTTAATCTAGCGAGCACTACTCGTCATCTTTAGTCCACTGTAAAAAGAGAACAATCAAAAACACAATGACAGCTATGACATAGGTAATGATGAAAACAATGTTGACTTTTTCAGCCACCCTGGTCCAGCAGCCGGCCTTATTTCCTTTCTTCCTTCCGTTGAGCACCCGAGTCAGCGTTTTCTCCACATCCCTCAGCTCATCTGAGATGTTCTCCAAAGCAATGGACTCCGCAGTCGGTTTGCAGCTGTCGCCCTGCAGGAAGGATTCAGTTAATTATTTATAAAAGAGATATGGACGATTGAATATTGAAAAAAGTTCTACATTTGATATTTTGTTTTTCTGTGCATTATGATGCAAGTTATGCTCAACAGTTTTTATACTTTTTGTTTTGTAATTTAATAGATCTTCAAGATGCAACACAACCTTTACCTCTTTGGCGACTGACAGTTGTTCGGCTGGAGATTCATCAGCAGACGTCCTTTTCTTCAAATCTAAAAGAATACGTTAGATTCAATGACAGTAGAGAATGTGAAGTTTCACAAAGAGTTTGTGCTTCATCCCTCCTCACCAGCAGTGAGCTTTGCCCAATTTGTCTCATCAGTACTCACTCCGTCTTTGCTCTTCATCTTCCCTGTTTTCTTCGGCTGCAGCGTCTTTTCCTAACAGATACATCATCAAAATCGTCTCCACCAGGCTCAGCATCATCAGACCAAAAACCCCAATGCAGTAGATTGCTGAAGGGAGGAGTTATCATCAATAATGTAGATGGCTAACGGGGGAAGGCAGCGTCAATGTGGACATATTGAATCAGTACGGTTGATGCTCATGTGAAGTGTAGACTGCGACCCTCCTTACCAATGAGAGGAATCCTGTCTGAAGAGGCAGGCAGGATGTCATTGAGGATAAGCTGCATCACAGTGACAGCCAGCAGCACCGTGACCTTGAAGCCGAGCTTCTCGCCCCCACTGTCTGAGATCCCAAAGGAGGCCAAGTCCAGACCCAAGAAGAACATGATCGGAAGCAAGAAGTTGGCGATGTAGAGGGCAGACCGCCGCTTCATGGTGATCTGTGAAAGACGGACAAAGGTCAGTTAACGCTTCCATCTGCAACGGCCAAAAACAGTCACATGCAGGTAAAACAAGACAATCGGACCCAACATGTGCTCGTCTTCAACAGCAGAGCAAAAGGTGTTCAAGACGTTAGTTAGGTAGAAGTATTAATGAAACAGGAAAGTATTTATCGGTAAGATCAGCAGAGTCCATGTAAAACAGGCATATTTAGATCTATGAATATATATTCAGATTTATTCAAGCAAGAAAGGGAGGATAGAAAGACCTAAAAGTAGAAAGAAGAAAGGAAACAAATAAATAAATAGCTAGGACATAAATATGGAAAACTACAAAACATCAAACAAAGAAAGACACAAATAAAGAAGGAAAGAACGGTTGGAACAAGCAGGGAGAGGTGACATGGTGCTGCTGCCTTCAGGTGTACTGAAGATCTACGTGAGGGCCGGACTGTTGTTTGGGCTTATGAGCCAAACAGCTCTCACAATCTTCCAGGCTTTTTTGAGTCACTGGGTTTTATCTGAATAAAAAATTAGGTTGTCTTCTGTTCATCTATCACTCACTTTTCTCCGTAGTTTTCTTTACTTTGGTCTTGACAAAGATTTCATAATGTATCTCTTTAATACTGTTTCCTCATACAACTTCCAATTTTCTTTATGTTCTTATAACAGTGTGTTTCCACAGATACTTACAGTGTAAATCAGCTTGTTTTGTTCTCCATTACGTTCGCCGACCACTTCCTCGCTGATGTTCAAGTTGACAAACAGCCACTCGGATTGCGTCATCCTTTTAAGAGACCATTCCATAGTCCATTGGCTATCCGCCAAATTTGTAATCTCCAGATTCTCATCTGATTTGGGAGATTAAAGAAAGGATTGCATGATATTTGTGTTCCGGTGCTAAGAAACCAAAGTCATTGAAACATTCACATTCAAACTCAAACAGTGATGAGAACACATTAACAAGGCACAGGAATTAATGAAACTGAACACAAGGTTTAGGACTCACATGAGTGTGCAATGGACTTGAAAGACAGTTTGCAGTTCTGGACGTCAAAGGGAAATTTGTAAACTTCCATGCTGCAACTGCTGACCACCACCATGTTTCTTTGAAGAGTGACGTATCCATAAAAGTCAAGGGTGACATAAGGACTCATAGAAACCTTATTATCCTCTATCCTGAATGACAACAAACACAAGTTATTTTAACTGAATTTCAAATTTTGTATTATCTATAATATTGTACAATATGACAAGTCTGGACCACAAAACTACACTGTAACTGTAAATGACCACTAGCATTGTTCTTTTATTTTGATGATCCTGTTTCCTACTTAGATTTTATGTGACTTTTATTTTGACATCATACTATCTGCTCACGTGATTAATCGCTCGCGCTCATGCTCACGCTCACATTTGTTCAATAGAAGACACGAGAAGCTAGCCAGCAACTTAATAAATTAAGCTAATGGCAGCGGACTTCCCTGGATTACCACTTTATAGCACCCTTTGATATGCGGAGCGAGGTTTGACTTGCCAGCCGGGCCGCCTGCCAGAGTTCCCCGGGCGGCCCGCCATCGTCTGGTTTCCCTCCCTCCCGCCCCTTGTCTGTTCCTGGTCTGTTTAGGGCCATCTGGAATTTGGCCCTTGAGGGGGGAGTTCTGTCACGGTTTGGGTTAATGTCTGGTTTTATTTTGTAGTTTCCTTCCTCTGTTCTCCCTGGGTCATGTCACTTCCTGCCTTGTCCTGTCGTCCGCTGTGATTGTCTGTCAGTCATGATTGTTCCCAGCTGTTTCCAATCACCTGCACCTCCCTTGTGTATTTAAGCCATGTGTGTCTGTTGTCACTTGCCGTGTCATTGTTCATTGTATGGAAGTCCTAGTCCCTGTCCACGATCTTGTTCTCGTTCCTGGTTCCTGTCTTCGTTTTTTGCCCCTTGGCCTTTTGCTTTTGAAAACCCTTTTGACAATTAAAGTCCCTTTTCTTTTTGAAAACTCTGCGTCTGAGTCCTACCTTCCCCGCCATGCAGCTCCCTGACAAAAAATACTACTCGCAATAGTAGTGTTGGTGTACAAGACTGAAAAGGATACCGTATTTTCCACAATATAAGCGAACTTAAAAGAGCACTTAAAAGCCTTTCATTTTCTCAGTGCGCCTTATAATCCGGAGCGCCTTATATTTGGATCAATTGGTTAATTGGTTGATCCATACTGGTTGTACACACGCTCAAGGCGCTCTGCTAAATATGCCAAAGCTCGGTCTACGACGGCGAGATGCTGAGCGGCGCTCAAGCGCGTGAGATGAGGAGCTTGTTTCAGGGCGCGTCGGAGAAACAAAGCTGTCGTTCTTGCCGAGCGCTTAATGAGATTAAAGAGCGAGAGACGGTGCCTTTTTCTTTACAGTAGCTGAACCATCTTAACGGGGAAAATAAGTAATTCTAAAAGGGGCCCTTGGCAGGCAGCTTGGCTGGAGAGCAGCCGAAGATTTAAGGCGTGGATGGCGAGGGGGGCGGCGGTTGCGGACGCACCTCGCAGCATCGATCGGACCATGAAAGCACCGTCTCCACCTCCCCACATCCCCCCCATCCACCCGCCACGATGTCAAACGTTTGACTGGAGTATCTTATGCGCCTTATAATGCGGTGCGTCTTATAGTGCCGAAAATACGGTAGTTATAAGTTACATACATTTACTGAAAAATCAATAAGGGCTTCATTTAGTGAAATCACAACTGTGAAAATGTGAATGTGTACAACAACTTTGTGGAAGTGGAAAAGAAGCCGAACTATGTGTAGCGCTTTCCGTTCGTGCACCAAAATAACTCAATAATAAATCGAATGGACAAAATGCATTACAAAATATGGTATAGCAACTTTCACACCTCAAAGAGAGTGGCAGGAAAAAAGTAGTTACCAAACCATCTCCAAGTACCAGCAAGAGCCAAAGAAATGTTAACTGGTTCCACTCTACATATTATCCTGTAGCTCATGTAAACTTTAGTAGCTCCACTCAAAAAATATTTTAATTCTTAGCTTGAACTAGATCAAGATCCGTAAACGCAATGATATTCGACAAAACAATAACGTGTGTTGTGGACATGTGTGGATGGTTGAGGATGAGAGTATGCATATTAAATCTCACATCTCTTCGATTGTTAGATCTGGAGTCCACAATACATCCGAAGGGGGATAAATCTTCCAAATATCGCAGAAATATTCACGGTCCCATTTTATGTCATCGTCGAACCACCTCTACAGAGGAAAACATGGGGAGGGGCATTGAAAGACATTTGAGTTTCCCAAAGAAGGGAGAGGTGAGAATTAATTTAAGTGAAGATATGCTTTCTTTGCCCGAGAGTACTCACCAAAGTAACCCAAATGTAGGAAACAAACTGCTGTTTCTTTTCGTTCTATGAGAAAATCAAAACATGTAAAATGAAAGTTGCTTCATCCAGACTTCAGGGTAAATGTCATTAAACTCTAGTTTCTAAGAGTTTACAAAGAGACAGAGAATTTCCATATGACCCTCCAGATGAGTCAGATACTGTGAGTGAACAAACATCTATTAATTAATTAACGCCCATTGAATATAAATTAGAAAAAACTCAGATCACAGAAACTAGAAAATCAACCTCCTCAAACTTGAAACTCTTGCATGGTTTAAAAATATCTTTACATTACAGACAAACACAGATTTGGTACGAATAGAACTTTGTTTAAAAAGGATTTTAATTTATAATCTTAAGTAGCCACTCACCACTTCTAGAATGGCATAGAGCAGCATGTCCACGTATACCTCTGTGGCTGATGAAGAATGAAAAGGCCGGACCTTGGAGTTGTCGTTGTCTTTCACCAGGTTCAAGTACTTATAAAGAGCGCGATAGGAGCAGTTTGCGCCATCGTTCATCACACCTACAGTGAAAACATCATGACATGTTACGTATTAGAAGGTTTAGTCTAAGTAGGAAAGAAATCGCCACAAAATGTAATTTCAGACCTTTATATTGTTGATTTACGACAGTCGTGTTCGTATCATTCTGGTTTGTGTAGTTCCCCTATGGAAGCTGGGGATATTTTGAGTCCTGGTTGGTACTTCCATCTAGCAATAAAAAGTACACAGGTTCAACTTTTATTTAATTGCAGGAATTTAAACAAAAACTCTAAGAACACACAATAAACTTTTTTTTTTGTTTTGTTAGAAAAGTATCTTGGTAAACAGAATGTTTTGAATGAATATTTTCCCACTGAGCTCTGGTGGTTTGAAGATGTCTGTCGTTGAGATGTTGAACCCTGTAAAACAACAATCAAACATGTTAATATCATCATTCAGGAACACTGTCCCCGTTTAAGAGAATTATCCACTGCAACTGAAGGGTTTTAGGAACTAGATATCTAAGGTCAGCCCATGTTAATCCGTATACATTTAACAAACAATCATTTGTTAAAATACTAAAATACACACCTTCATAATTGTCCTGATTGAAGTTTGGTGGATCATCATGAAGCTCTGTTTGTTCTGAAATATTGGAGGTGCTCCCACCTGACAAAAGAAGTTCACAGCCTTTAACCTGATTCCACTGAGTGGTTTAAAGGCTTTTAACTGTGTTAAAAACCACATTGAGGACAGTTTTTGGAAACAGCTTGAAGTATTTTTTTTAGTCAAATTCTGTATTCTGACAAATTCTGTATCGTTAACCGAACCAAATTCCCCTAAATTGTGTTGGGATGAAGAAAAACATTTCCAGCCAACAGAAATGTTCCGTCTTACCTGAGACGAGGAACAGAAAGAAGAAACCAGCGAGCATCATGACTGTGACCTCGTCCTCTATGGTGTCTGGAAATGTTTGTCAAGGTGTAATCACCACCCTTCCTTTTATTGGAACAGGGACGGACAATTTTTATGGCCAGCCCTTTGTTTTTGTGATTTTGTGACGCCCAGGAACTGCGATCATCCCCCACAAGCTGTCGGCTGTGTTTTAAATGAAATACACTTTAATAACACTTTGTCTACATAGAAATTAAATGAAAAAGATAATCATTTTCTGTCAGGAACACAAAGAACATTCTTTAATCACAAGGTTCTCACGAGTCACCAAAAGACTGTGGTCTCCAGAACTGACAAAAACATAAATAGGTCTGTGTTTGTTTAAGGACAAATGCACAAATACATGAAAATATACATGCGAATATGATATGCCAGTGAACTAGAATTTTACAATACAACCAGAGATCTCCATATTATATACAATTAAATGTTGATTTAACATGCAGTTAAACATGCAAAAGGCATTTACAAAAAACTGAACTAACGACACATTTCTTCAGCAGCTTTGCCAAAACAAGTGTGGAACATGAGGCTTTTATAATTGGACATATTCAACAAAACCAGGTCAAATAAAACCACTGTCAGAACCTGCTGAACCTTCTCCTCTGCCTTCCCGTTGTTAAGGAGAAGGGACAATGTTTTCTCCATCTCTCTCAGCTCGTCCGAGAGTTTCTCAGAGGCATGTTGATCTGTCAGTGTGCTGTTGTTGCCCTGCAAAAAAGGGCCATTAAACCGGTGAATACAAGAATGGAACAATATCATATGGTTCATAAGTGAGTCGATTCTAACCTCTTCATTAGTCCGACAGTCAGATGGTGGTCACTCCCACAGTGGTCAGTACATCGTGTTTGAGTGGTTTTTAAGGGGAGAAATAAGAGGTTGGTGGAGACTAAATGTGCTGTAATGAAAACGTTGCACTTATTGCAACTAATACTTCAACAAACATTTAACTGCTTTTTGTTATCACGCCATAACACAATGTATGTCTAATGAGTTTAGTGTGTTATTCTATGTTCTGATTGGTATATACGTGTGTATTTACAGTTGCCATGGTGAACCAGCTGATGCAATTGATTGATTTGTACAAATCAAAAATTTGGTGGAAATAGATATGATGTCTTAGTAACAATAATGAATTCTGTGGTACTTGGCTAATAGGTTGTCGTGTAGCAGCTCCATCCAACTTTAAAAAAGAAATATTTACGTGCGTCATTCGCATCTGAAGAAGGTCAGATCCACAGCCAACGACGGGCTTAAACCCTCAGCATCCACCTGCTGACTCCAACTATTGGAAAACAGTCAATATCATTTACATCACACTGCAATTCAAGATCAAATTTAAGTAGCTCCAAATTTCTTTTCTTTCTTTCTGTGTCCTGAGGCATGAACAAACACAATCTTTTCATGTCATGTTTGCAGAAGGACACGCCATTAATCACGAGCTGAATGAAAAGATGGAGCTTCACCTGTCACCACCTCAGGGTGATGTTAGCTTATCATGTCTTCCTACAATAGTATAAAGACTGTTTTGTGTTTACTTTAATAAAAGTGAGCAAACATTAAAGTTATTAATCTTCTAAACAAATACAAGGTGCACAGCATCAGTACATTCTACCATCCAAGAAGCAGTCACGTCACCAGCCGTGAATCCTCAACTCGTTTCCTTAACAAACAAGTTGCATAAACATGTAAATGAGCTGCTGGTGGTGGATTCTGTTTTGCTTCAGGCACATCCAGGTTAACATCCTCTAGTGTTCAGTCCTTATGCCAAGCAGAGTCTACTAGTTAGTCAAAGATGGTCCCCTTACTTTAAAAATGGGATTTAAGGTGTTTTTTACAAACTAGAGACTCACTGGTCACCAGAGTTTTGAGTGATTCGCTAAAAACTGAGCCAGGTCACATGAGCTGGGTCCATTGTTCATTTTGGAGTTTCCATTTAAGTGAAATTATTACTTTTTTTATAATCATCAACTTTGATCTCACTGATACTTGCTACAACTATTGAAGGGCTTGGTCATTTGAACGTGACATGGACGAGTTGAGGGATTGAGAGAGAATGTGTACAGAAGCTTACTGGCATGAAGTCTAAAGGAAAGAGGTGCGGAGTGGGAGAGGGATGATTAAAATGTATTCATATTATAGAATATATGTAAGTGGCATGATGGTGTGGTGGTTAGCACTGTTGCCTCACAGCAAGAGGGTGCTGGGTTTGATTCCGCCCAGAGGCCTTTCTGTGTGGATTCTCCCCGTGTCTGCATGAGTTCACTCCTGGTACTCTGGCTTCCTCCCAAAGACATCTCTCTGGATTAGGTTAATTGGTGACTCCAAAATCTTTGGTGATATCGCTTTAGTGAAGGTGTTTGATCTCAAAAACAGGAAGAATTTGTAAAATAACAGCATTTCTCTGCAGAACTGTAAGCGATATCCCTACATTGAAAGTGTTTCGTACAGACAGTACGCAATCTATGAAATAAATGTTATTCTCTATAAAATTGTCAAGGAAAATTTATGGTTTTCGCACTTCATTAGAATTAAGTTATTTTTGTTTGGCAGCCGCTGCTGCCAGTCATTTGATCTTCTTTTTACGATGTTTTTGTTACAGTGTAGTTAAGACTGTCGGCAAAGAGAGGGAACTGGAGGCGGTGATGTTGGATGTCCTACAATCCAATTTTGCGTATGGGTCAAAATGCGTGATGATCTGAGTGGGCAACGCTCCGTGTGATTGACAGTAACTCCCGGGCCACTTTTTACCTGCAGTCCGCCCCTGCATGTGTCTTTACTCGTACTGCACATGAGCTCTTGTGGGTTGCATTTTAAACAATTATATCAACCTTGTTGTGGCTTCTACCTCAATGTGACCATTGATGGATCAGCTTCTGAAAACTATTTAAATGCTAATTTTAAACCCTCCGGTGGATGCTGAGCGTCTTTAACCATTTAAAAACACAACACAAGGTTTTGATATATTTATTTCAGCACACAAATATGTTTAAAACGGTCATTGTTTTGCTTTTTGCCTTTTTCAAAACTCAAACATTATTATTATTTTGTGATTTATTCCCCACACATTTTATACACTCTTATTAAAAGGCAATGCCCTAGACAGCTCTGCAGGGACCTTTTCTTCATCAACACTAAAGATTTTGGCGCCACCAGTCTGCAGGATAGAGTAAATACAATTCAAGTTATCTCATTTAAACTGAATTAAATAGATTCACAATGAGACATTGTAGATACCAAACATGGCACAACTTCTAGATTCTACATCAAATTCATACGGCATGTGTTGACTTAAAGGTTTAACATGGTTAAAAAGGTTTAAGTGGTCCATGCGATGAAGATGAGGGTGAGGAACAGTGACACGATGGTGATGTAGAAAATGAAGAAAGCTCTGTTGATTCTTGCGGCCAAGAGGCCAGACTTCCCTCCGTCCTGTCTACAGACGAGGTGCAGATTCAAAATATTCTGCAACTCCTTCAGCTCCTCCATGATCAGCAGCAACGTGTCACTCTCTCGGGCCTGAACGCTGTTGTTAACCTGCAAACATCAGGAGTCATGACTGGGATTATGAATGCATTCATGTCTCAAGCCAGGTGGACACAACCGCCTTCTTTACTGTCTGCCACCTCATTAATACTTTGGATGGTTTAATGAGATTAATGCCCTTAGGTCATGATGTAAATGTACAAATAGAAATATACATGTAATTCATAAATGTGGATTATTTTGTGGATGAAATCTAAATCAAAGCATTTGGGGTCTCTTTTAAAGCAAAGCATTTAATTTCACTAAAAGCAAAAGGAATCGTGGGAAAAGTAGTTTCTCCGACTTCAGAGCAATTTATGAAGTTCAAAATCTAACCCAATTTTAATGACCTGGAATCTACATTTAACCTGATGAGACAATACATTTTGGTCTAAAACCCAGTTTTGACCACCTGTCTTGTGATAATGATGTTTCATTGGAACCGACATTGTCTTTACCTCTTGAACCATCGGCAGCAATTCATGTTGTTTCTCACCATCTGACGCTTTGCAGATGCTCAGACAGCCGCTTTGTCTTTTCTCCTCTGAAAGAGATGGTTGCACAGGAAACGTGATCCACTATAAAGCTGCATAGGAAAAGCACTTGAAATCATGGATTGTGTTTTTCTATTTGATCACATTCCTGTGACCAAATGCAAAAGAGAAAACATCCGTAGTCATAAGTCAACGAGGGCCCACAAAGGATGTGGATTTATAAGGAAATAGCTGATCTAGAAAAGCTTTCAAGGCCTAAATTACCTCAAGAATGTAAATTACGACTGAAAAACAGAAATAAGTTCCTCCAGACGTTTCCAATTAACAAGCTTTCAATAAGATCTGCGTCTCACCTGTGATGAAGGTGTCCTGCTTGTTCTCCCTGTTTTCCCTCAGCCTGATCTTCTTCTTGGAGGCACAGTCTTTCTCCATGAAATATGTAACCAAGATGGTCTCCAGCAGGCTGAGCAGCATCAGAGCGAAAATCACGACGCAGTAGGTGGCTGAGTGGAGGAGACAAACAATAACTGCCTTTTTGTTTTGTTGATCTCTTGACCTCTCAATGAAGCACAACACGGCGTTCAGAATGCCCTGAAAGCAGGAGTCAGTACCTATGAGGGGAGTCTTGTTGGACATGGAGGGCAGGATGTCATTGAGGATGAGCAGCAGGACGGAGATGGCCAGCAGTATGGTGACTTTGAAGCCCAGCTTCTCTCCTCGGCGGTCTTCGATGAAGAAGGAGGCGAGGCCCAGAATCAGGAAGAACAGGATGGG